AATGTTTGAAAGGCAAAGCATGCAGAAATTCCCCACCCTTTCTGCATTAAAAAAAAAAAATGAAAGAAAGACATAGTGCAGCCTTTACTGCCGTGTGATCAAAAAAAGAAAGAGGGTGTAGGAAAAGATATTTTCTGTGACAATGATCTCGGAATTTAAAGTTCATATTTCATGCCTGCCTTTAAAAAACACAATCAAGGTACTTTACAAGTAGAATTTTATAATTCTTCAGATTCATCCCATTAGTAGCGCTAAAACTCCAGTCTGAGTTGACTCTCTTAGAATTGCATTCTTTGTGGAACAAGTTTGCAACACGTGCAGAAAGCCTTAATGAAATTCATGGCAGAGCCTAACGTAAGTAATGAAACACTCTTACTTATATGCAATGCCACAATATAAAAAATTTAACTTCTCTGCCAGTAGCTCTGCCTTTTCTCCAAAATGTGCATCTATTTGCTCACTGTTAAAAGTGTTATGATAAATAATGGTTACTGTGGATTTAACAAGAGCTGACTAGCAGCAACAATGCCATGCTACACAATACCACTAAAACAAACAAATATATTAATAAATATAAAGGTGGAGGCTTTTGCACCTGCATTTTCTACTCAAGTTAATAATCAACATCTCAAAGGAAGTATTAAGTATGGAAAACAAAACTGTCGTAGTGATTATTGCTTCTGCCACGTTTGCATCAGCCAAAAACAAAGGCACTCGATTAATCATTTTCCACTCTCACATTAAGAAGTAGCAGAACTGTACAGCTAAACAAACCATACAAATATAGGTCCCCCAACTCTTGGGAAGGTGAAATTTTATAGTTTATACAAGCCACTTTAAGAAAATCTAGAAATACATGAATTAATAAACAACCATATTCTGAAAATGGTATTGAAGGAAAGGAGCTTGAAATAACTACAATGATCATATCTCAACATAATAGGAGCGCAGAGCAGCTACAGAATAATGTTGCAGCCTGTGGTGAATGATGGAGACATACAGGACTACAATACAGAGCAGGAATAACACTATTAAAAGACTGCTAAAAAATATTGGAAGCTTGACAAATTGGTTGAGTTTTTATTCTGCTCTATAATGAAGATAATTCACCTTCAATAGTTAGTGTTGCTTGGGTTTCCTTAAGTGATCTACAATTTCATAATGCAGCCTTTCTTCATACTTTCTTCTTTCCAATAGCCTCCATACACAAAAGTGCACTAACATTATTGCCATCTGTGCTGGCCTTAAATTGAAAACATAAGCTATATATTCTTTCAAGACAAGGTACTGTCAACTGCTCTATTTTTCTCCAGCTGTAAATTGAAATATGTTTATACTGTTATATATAATAACAGCAATATAAATAAAACCAGAACTGAGAATAGAAAGAAGTCATTCATGATAATACATTGTTCACAAGGTAGTCAAATAACTCAGCTAAAAGTATTAGTGTTGTGGGAAACAATTTCTTTTGCTGTATTATGCCAAACAATTTTTCTTCTATAGTACTATGGCATATTGTTACAAAATAAATATTTGAGGATTCTTATCTAAGGAAGGACCATCATATCATACAACCTGTGAATCAGCAACACATCGTCAATTCACTACAACGTTAACTGTAATAATCATTACTATTAAAATAACTCAGATTACCAGAAGAGGGCTAAAAATTTCCTGTAGTTAAGCTCTTGTCATTCCAGTTGACAGGGCTGCATTTAAAAGTGATAAATTTTCTATCAAGATAATTTTAATTATACCTATACTATTATCTTGCTGGGTAGGTCAAAAAGCTGAAGTACAAGAACCCTCATGAACCCTAAGCAAAAGCAGCAAGATAGAAAAGATCAAAAAAAGCTTAGTGTAGCATACACAATAGAATAAAAACTTCAAAATAGTAATAATCATGTCTTAAAAAACCCTGAGGGGAAAAAAAAAAAAAGGATTTTGCATGCACCTAATTACATTTTCAGGTGACAATTTCAAGACCTGGTCATTTGCCTACAACAGTTGGAATCCTATGTATCAGCAATGCCTTAGCAAATATTATGCCCCCTAATCTACTACTGAAGTAATTAATTACAAGATCATTTTTTTCTGTGCTACTACATATACATGTTATTCACAACAATCTTTACCAACTACTTTATAGTGGTTCATTAACTCTAAAAGGAAAATCAGTTAAAGCTTGATGTATGGTGAAAGGTGGCACTTAATACACAAATGCCAGCAAAGAAATTATAGAGCTAAATGCTATTTATATGTTAGCTGTAAATGTCACTTCTGTGTTAGGTATTATCTACTTACGGAATACTTCTGAGTAGGTAGGAGCAGCTTAAACATTATTTTGTGGCCAAAAGTGACCAAATGTGCTCGTAGGCATTTAAATGAGCATGCTGATTTCTGATGTTATACAATATCTACCAATCCTATCGAAGTCTGTTTTAGTGACACTGGTTTATAAATATTGGACAAATAAAAAGAAAATCTAGTATTCTAGTATATGCTCAGCAAGATTTTCAGAGTGCTCAGCAGAAACTGCGCTTCCAAAATTTTCCATGCTGAATCTGGCCATTTGTTTTTTAAAGGTTTACTTTACAGAGGGAGAACACAGGAGCCTTCATACAGTTTAATGTATAAACCCCACAGAAAATATTTGCAGGTGTCTTTGGGTAAATCTGGAAAAATCTGTCAAACAACAGCAAGAAACTGATATTTTCTGTGAGCTGTGAAAAGGTCTTTTGTTTCAGAGAAGTCTGTATTAGAACTTAGCGTAGCAACACAATCATATGAATTAAGTATTAAGGTTCACCTATTACCTTGCTCTCATATCCTGCATAAGCATATCCTGCATAAGTCAATAACTGTCATAATTTGGGTATGTCAGAAAGCAGAATCATAGTGTTACCTCATGATCCCTTTTGGCAACCAGATTTTGATCCTGGTATCTGACATTCAAGGAGGGCTCTACTAGCCCTCATACTGGAAGCTGTCAATCCAGCCTGCAACGAGACTGGGAAAAAACCCTCCAGGAGAGAAGAATCAGGGATGCAAGCTGAGCTATTCTGAGGGAAGAACATTAAGGCTTTGTCTGTTAACAAAAGCAAACTCTTGGGAATAGCTGTTTTGACTTTTCACAGACTATGTATTCTGATGAGAAAGGCATATGCTCATTTATCTATTTTGCAGGATCTATATTTTCACAGTAAACTACTCAGTCTTTTTATTTCTACTAAGTGCTCTGTCAATAACTGTCAGCTTTTCCATTAAAGTCAACAGGACCAAAATGTCCCCTTGACTCGGGGAAAGCTCTTATTTGAGCGTGAGTTGCCAGAACTACTTCAGGATGGCAACTAATGTGAACTGTGGCTTCTCATTCTTATATAGAATATTCCAATGGTCAACCTGTTCATAGTATTACATATTTACACTTATTATCATATACAGATGAACTCTGCACCACTCAAATCAAACTC